CTTGAGAGGAAGAATGGTAAATTCACATGACAAAGCTTGTGCATAAAAGGATGGGAAGAATTTGTGGTCATTTTGCAGTCTACCATACTACTTGAAACCAAACCACTACTGTTTCTCATGCGGTTATTTACAATAATATTTTTCTTCCACTTTTGCCTTCATATGGTCAATTGTCTATATATCAGTCAGTCTGTTCTTATAAAAATATAAATTAGATCATGTCACTCCTCTTCCTAACCACCTTCAGTGGTTTCTTATCATATTTATAATAAAACTCCAACTGCTTGCTCTTTGTGCCCTATGTGATTGGTCACTTTGCTTCCCTTTTGACAAAATCTCATACTACTCTTCCCTTGAGGAGGCCTGGTTGTTCAATGGTTAAGTGCTCGGCTGTTAACTGAAAGGTTGGTTGTTTGAACCAGGGTCTGGAACCAGTTCATACCCTTGCTGAGAATTTTCATTTCTAACAAGTTCCCAAAACCAACCAAACAAAATCCATCGCCATCGAGTGGATTCTGACTCATAGCTACCCTATAGGACAGAGTAGAACTGCCCCATAGGGTTCCTAAGGAGAAGCTGGTGGATTTAAACTGCCGACCTTTCGGTAAGCAGGCGAATGCTTAACCACTGGGCCACCAAGTTCCCAGGCAATGCTAATGCTGCTGGTTAGGGGCCAATTCTAAGAACCACTAGAGGAGCAGTGGCTCTCAAAATTTATTCTAATAAGAATCACCTGGGGATCTTGTTAAAATGAAGATTCTGATTCAGTATATCTGGGGTGGACAAGTAAATTCTCAGCAGGAGTTCCAACTGGAACGAACCAGTTCAAAGCCCTGGTTTGATCCCACCAGCGGCTCTGGCTCTGTGGGAGAAAAGTCCTAGTGATCTGCTCCAGTAAAGATTACAGGCTAGGAAACCCTATGGAGAAGTTTTACTTTATCACGTAGGGTTGCTATGAGTCTGTTTTGACCCAACAAGGCACCCAACAACAACTCTTCCTTTAGTGCACTGGTCTTTCTGTTCCTACCTTAGGACACTTGCTGTAGCTGTTTCTCCTGCCTAGAATGTTTCTCATGCTTTCCTTTCAAATAGCTGGCTTTTTCTTGTTATACAGATCTTACCTAAAATGTTACCTCTGCAGAACGACCTTCCTACATAATATCACTAGAGCATGCCTCCCTTTGCTGGACACATGGAAGGCTATGTTTTTGAACTCTCTTGCAGTATGATGAGGGCATTTTACCAGTTCTGGTTAGTAGACTATGAGCAAAAGTAAAATGATGTCTCATTTCTAGGTTAAGGCAGTGGAAAGTTCCTGCTCAGTATTCTAACCTCTCTTCTTCCCTTGCTGTCATAATTGAAGAGTCTCATGCTGAGATGGCAAATCACAGATTAAAGTGGCCTGGATTTCTGAGTTGCTACATGAAGGATGCTGTCTTAGAGAGTTTACAAGACCCATAGTGGACTTTGCATGAGTGAGAAACTTTTGTTGTTATAAGCCACTATTTTTTTGGAATTAATTTGTTAGTGCAGCATACGCTAGCCTATTCTGACTGGTACACTAACTACACAATTTTAAGTAGCTTCTTCATCATCCTTTCATTGTCTATCTTAACATTCAGTTTCACTAACCTCATAGCTCCTAACAGTACTTATTTATTTCCTGTTATACTCTCACTTAACTAGAATGTAAACTCTGTATAAGGAATCTAATCTGCTTATGAATCATTTTGTTTCTAGGACCTAGAATAGTAGGTGCTCTGTAAAAATTAATTGAAGCAATTAATGTGGTGTCTATTACATAGCACAGTCTAGCTCATCAGATTGGATTACACAGGTGGACATGATTTGAAAAACAAAACAGCAGGTGAGTTTTTAGCCAACTGTATTGTGAGACCTTAGCATTAACTTAGATTTTGTCTTTTGATACATTTTAATGGTAGAAGTTTCTTAAGACGAAAATTAAAATTCCCATTTCATTATTAGAACCAGATGGATGCATAGGCACAATGTGAAACATTGGTAAACGGCCACGTAAATATGCAGGCAATATTTCCCTAATTGTCCACTTATCTTGCAAGAGAGTCTGCCCCTGACCATAAACTTGGTATTACGATTAATGAATTGACTCACAATGCAGAGAATTGAGAAGGTAGGAGAACATTTTCTCTCCTTTCCTGACTTCTATTCTCACCCAAAGAGAAGGAAATATTTCAAAAATGCCATCAGGAGAAGTCTGGCTAACAGTATAGGGACAGTTTATATTCCATTTCCCATTGTTTCTTAAATATGTAACTCTCTCATAAGAAGTAGCTAAAGGTTGGTGAGGATTACTGAGAGCTTAATGTTTAATATAATTGAGTATAACCCTAAACCGCATGGAAAGACAGGTCTGTTCATGACTAAAGCCCTATAGGCAGGTTCATTTTCTTTGTCACAAGACTCCTGAGCTCCATGCTAATCAAGAAATGTGGACGGACAACTCTTTCAATGGCCTTGAATAATTTATCACAGCAAAGAAATTTCCCAAGCCTATTGCCCAGGGCAATCGAATACTATAGAGGGCAGTGTTGCCTAAGCCACGTGCTAGCTTAACAAAATTTCCTAACTGAGCCAAAACGTGTTTGTAGATCAAGACAGGCAATAGGTAGAAAAGAAGAAATTTGTCAGCAAATAGCAGAACCCAAAACCCAGAAAAAGAGAGTGAGAGTGAGAGAGAGAAAAAATAACAAGGTGGATCCTCTAATTGAGATGATGTTATTTGGCAGGTTACCAAGAAAGAGATTCAGGCATTAGGAAAATAGAGTGTGGACTCAAAAAAGGAGAACATGGTAGGTCCAGATTTTAAGAACAAGGTGAGGGCTCAGTTATTAGAATTGAGGCACAAAGTCTGCACCAGATTGGCAACAAGATTGTATAAAGTTGAATGAGAGCATCTTAATTTCTGATTCCTGAGGTAGACTTGACCCTAGAGACTTTGTAGGGCTGTGCATCAAGTAGCTCCATCCCTGGGGAGAGTAGAGAAAGACTGGGAAGCAGGGAAGGCCTCAGAAGGACAAGAAAGGGAAAGCAGTAAGAATGGCAATGAAACTCTTGACATGTGTCTAGCACTTTCATAGGAAATCCCAAATATCAGTGAGCTCTTTTGATCTTTACAAGCACCCTATGATTTAGGTGGTGTGTTTGTGTCATGGACAACAGAAAGTCTAAATAGTGAGACAATGTCTCTCCATTTTTTAATTTTTTGTATGCACTCTCAGGTTTGGAGAAATTGGCTTTTGGTAATCGTAAGTTAAATCTCAAAGGCACACATCAGATCCATGAGATAGTTTCTTAATATCAATAACATACCACCTATCTGGTTGATACCTTTCTATGAATTTATGCCTTTGGTTGGGAAGGGAGGTTGCTTATGACTAGTTGATGCAGGGTGAAAAGTCTCAAGCTTAGATTATCTGTGGCTCCAGTATTAATGAAAACTGAGCTGTGTGGCATTATATCCCATCTCAGGACTGACCATGAAAAAAAACTGAAAACGAAAATTCTCATTGGCCATTGTTCTTGGTAGGAGATTGGCCTGCAGTGAGGATTTACACTGATTCCTAAAAAGTAGCAATTTAGATATTTAGTCAAGGACTTGAAAGGAGAAAATTTGAAGGTTGATGCCAAGGAAGGTTAGGGAAATTTTATGGATCACCCAAATAGATACCGAGTCTAAATGTAAGTAACTGGATGTTTACCAGAAGTTCCCCAGAAGGATTTTCATGCGAGAATCAGGTAATAAACAGTATGAATTGACTATGGTTGTCACGGTTTGTGGTTGACAATAAGTCTTCTTACCCCAGCCCACACAGTGCTTGCTAAATGAGGTTCATGAATAAGGTAGCAATTGTAGCAGGGATCAAGGTCATGCATGAGCTCAACAACCTAAATTTCCTCTGCTAAAGCCAGTTTGAAAACCATTACGCCAACAATAGACTGATCTTACTTTTTGGCACCATCTTGAGGTGCCAGCCAGCCACCTGGTAACAGGTGGACAACACTGATCCTTGGATAGAGGACAGCATTTGTTTTCTCTGAGACAACCAGTTCTTGATTTGGATTTTCTTTTTGGGTCTAATGTACCTTATGTAGTGCTATCTGTGGGTTTATTGGGCTTTGTTTACTGCCATGAAACGCTGCACAGCATTGCTCACAACCAAGGAACTTATTTCAAAATGAAAAAAAAAAAGAAGGCAATAGGTACACACAGCATCCATTGATTTTATTATGCCCTACTATCTGCAAATAGTAGACTTTAAAGATTGGCATATTGAGAACTCTGCCACTACCTGAGGGATACTGCCATGTGAAGCTGGTGTGCTGATTGCAGGATATGTTAGTTGAACTAGAAATCAGCATTTGCACACTCTCTCTTCCTCATGCTGAAACTCCCAGCTAGCCATTTTGGGTCTCTCACGCCTCTAGGGGGAAACCCTGGTGGCGTAGTGGTTAAGAGCTACGGTTGCTAACCAAAAGGTTGGCAGTTCGAATCCATCAGGTGCTCCTTGTAAACTCCATGGGGCAGTTCTACTCTGCCCCACAGGGTAGCTATGAGTTGGAATCAACTCGATGGCCAAGGGTTTTTGTTTTTTTTTAATGCTTTCGGTGAAGTCTTTCTAAGCAGAAAATGCTGCCATTATATGATTTCATATGATTGTTAATAGTTGTACATATCTTAAATATGTAAATAATGTTAGATGGGGCACACTTGGAAACATACATATAGGAAGGAGCTCATGTTTGTGAGGCAACAAAGTGGTGGAATGTACTGAAGAGGACAATCATAATGTTGGTCAAACTCAACTTTTCCTAGATAACTAATTAACTGATATATAACATACAGAGGATGAGTGAATTTGTTGAGAATAATATTTAGTTTTTGTCTGAGTTTGTAGAACCTATAGAACATCCAGTTAGAGACGTTAAGTTCAGAGCTGCATCGATGTGTTTGGAATTCGGAGAAGAGATTGGGGCTGGAGATAGAATTGGAAATCCTCAGGGTGTAAACAGTTGTTAGGTCTACCTGTGTTAATGAGTGGTCAAGGAACCTGAATACAATGATGTGATGAACAGGATATAGCTTTAGAAAACTAAGGCAGATGTAACGTTGCTCAAAAATGCAGAAGCACTAAGTAAAAGTGATGTTAACAGAAACAGCAAGGAAAATGTTGCAAGAAAGAAGAGTGGAGATGACGTCAGACTCCAGGGAAAGAAATACAAAGAGGTCGCTGGAATCCTAAGCAGAGGGAGCTGTAGTGAAATGACAGGAGATGCACCTGGCATAGACAAGTAGACAAAGAGAACAAAGGCTACTTTTTCAAGAAGTTAGTTTTGAAGGAAATAAATGAAACAGGATAATGGCCTAAGGAGATGAAGGATAGAAGGAGAGTACATTGGAGAGCCATGATATGACCCAGTTTCTTTGTGATTTGCAGAATAATACTCTTATTACCATAAAATAAACACATATGCTCATTAATTGCTTGCAAAGTTATATTTATTTTTCAGATCCAGTAAACAAGAGAACCAAGTACCTGATACTGAGAACTCACTTTTTGAGTGAGATACATATGTTTAGTCATTCTCACCATTTATGATTATTTTTGTTCACTTATAAAATAAATATTTGGCCTGTCATAACTGGAGAGGTAATGTTAGCATTAAGGGCTCACTGTAGTCACAGATGGTTAGCACTTGCCTAAGCAAGAGCACGTTGTGGTGTGCCTGTATTTGTAAGCTTTTGTAGTGCCATCTGGACAGTCAAGAGCAATTTCTCTGTATTCATAGTTGTCTTCTCGGCAGCAAAGGCATGAACTTTCCAACTGAAAGACGTTATAATTGTACCTAAAGAAAAAAAATTCAACTATAAATATTTTTGGACTGACTTTTGAAATAAATTGATGTCAATACTCAAATTCTAGTTAATTGCCTAAGTGGCTTCATAAGCCTTCCAACCAACTTATTCTCTTCCTAGACCTTGCATTTCCCCCTTTCAGTGTAAACTTGTGATGTGGATCAGTGATAATTGGTAGGTAAGACAAAAGAAATCCGAAATGGGTATTTCTAATCTCACTGGTAGAACACTATGGTGCAACAAATTTCCTAAAGGCTAAAACATATTTTTAAGTACATAATTTAATACCAAATTATTGTTGTCCCTAATATTAAACTATACATGAAAGTGTATGTAAAAGAAAAACATAAAATATACAATATGTGTAAAATTCAAGTGACATTTTAAGAACACATTTAGAGAAAATTCACTTCCTTGCTTAAGTACTCTCTGTAATTACGGCATGAAAACGAATACATTTGCCACAAGTGTGTTAGGCATCTTTAGAAAACTACCTTAAAATTATTCACCATTATTTAAAATGTTTCTTCTATTTCTCAGTTCTTAATATTTTAGATATTTGTTTCATGAGATCCTGGCGATAAAACAGTGTTACTGTCACGTAACAATTTCTCCATGTAAGATTTTAAAAGCTTACCATATTGTTAGGCAAATAATGAACGCCTTCTAACTTGTTTGCCAATCAAGTCCTCCCTTCCCCACCACCAGGTATGTTCATAAGCGTCGCTATGCCAATTTTTTTTACATGTTGCTGTAAAAAAATTAGCATAGCGTGCTTACAAAAATACCTCGTGGTGGGGGGAGGGTGTGGTTGGCAAACAAATGTAGAAAGCGCCATTATTTTTGTAAAAATATGGTAGTTTCCTCAACAACATCACAAAGTTAACGCACAGTTCACATTCGAAGAAAAACTCACTTGAGAGTATTCTTGCAATCCCCTATACATCTTGTCATCTCAATCCTTTTGTTGCAACCATTGTACTTAACAGTCACATTGACAGGTGAAGTTCTGCAATTATTCCTACCTAAAACAAAATAGGTAACAGAGTCAGACACAAGATTTAACAGTAAAAATTGCTAAACTTCAATTTTTCTTATCCATAAAACTTAGAGTAATAATACTAACTACTTCACAACGTTATTGAAGGGATTAAATGTCTCTGCACACAGCACAGGCACATGCTTAATTCTCAGATAAATGCTACCTTACTATTATTGCTATTATCACTATGTCAGGAGGCAGAGAAAGGAAAGGAAGAAGTAGGAAGAGGGAAGAAAAAGGAGAAAGATGGAAGAAGGAGGGGATAGAGGGAGAAAAAGAAAAAGAGGGATGGATTGTTTTTTGACATCTATTTTGTCATTGCTTGTTATCCTTCTAACAAGCCTTGGTGGTGCAGTGGTTAAGAGCTCTGCTGCTAACCAAAAGGTCAGTGGTTCGAACCCACCAGCCACTCTGTGGGAGAGAATGTGGCAGTCTGCTTCCATTAACACTGGAAACTCTATGGGGCAGTTCTACCCCATCCTACAGAGTTGCTATGAGCCAGAATCCACTTGAAAGGCAATGTTTTTTTTTTTTGGTTTGGTTATCCTTCTAATCTAATGCATTAACTTACAACACAATATGCTGATACTGGGAGAGCAAACTGAGCCCATGAAAATTAAACTTTCTTCCTTATAAATATAACTGGCTTTTACTGGGAAGAATGCTGTAACTAATATGACTAAGTGAATATAATACATTATGTACAAACATTAATTGTTAGTTTAAGCATATAGGTTAGATTATCAGTTGTATTAAAATACGGGAAGCTTTGTATTTATGATCTGCCATTTTGTTCAAAGAAACACTAAATTTTTGTCAATAGTTTGCATTTCTTCTATGTGTAAAACCTGATTTTACTTACATGAATAGCAACATTTTTTTGAATCATAAATTCTGTCTTTCTGTAGGGTAAGAGAAAAAAAAACAGAAAATGTCTCCAGAATTTTTTTATACATAATAATATGTCATTTCATAATTTATTTAGATAACATCACAAAAGGGGAAAATAAAAAGTGACTGAGTATTTAGACTAAACCTTTTCCAACAATGAATAGAAAAAATATTCAAATTAAATTCTTTTGAAAGATAATGTATAAAAAATATAAAATTATTGCTCATTTATTTTAATTGAAAAATGCAGTTAACAATGACATCGCTACTAGAGTAAGCTTCTCATGGACAGGTCTATTTGACACTTATACATTATTAAAACCTCAAAACTTATCAATGTCTCAAAGTAAAAACTCAATAAATGTTGAAATCCAGTATTAGATTCATAAAACTATACACTATACTATCAATTATATCTTCAGAAAGAAGAATCATAATTTAAACTTCAGCTTTCATTAATAATTTAAGCATTCATTCATATAAAATCCTAATCAGATTCTTTGGGGATAGAAATAAAGACTGTGGAACAAAAAATATGGATAGTGTATGTGATTATATAGAGAATTTATATTTTAAAAGAAAATAATGATTAACCTGAGTCCATGAGCTATTGAAAATAAGTTTGTTTTGTTTAAAAATAGCTAAATGATTTCCCTAGTAACTTACCTCTTCTAGAATAGCACTAGATTACATTTTACAGAACTACAAATATAACCTTGATATGAAAAATATACTCAGTAATAAAAGGTGGACAAATCTGGAATCATATAACTTTGAATAACATGAATTTGTGCAAAGAGCTATCCATACAATCTACAAGGAGCTATCCATACAATCTACAAGGGATTTATGTCTGTTGGCAGAAACAAATTCTTCCAAGTGAGAAAGATGAAAGGCTAGGTTTTGTTTCATATTAGGTGTGAATCTTGTAACTGAGTTAAGAAGATGACTTACTTTTACACACCATGTCTGCTTTGGGCACTTTCGCACCACTGCAATGAAACCAGTATCATTGCAGGAGAACGAAATGCATGGGTTTTTGGGGTCATTAAATGAAGCACCAATCTAGGAGGAAGATTTGAAGAATAAAAATCGTTAGTAGCCATGATTTCCTTTTGAGGTTGACAATAAAATCTATAAAAACTTTTTCACATATATATATATATATATATATA